ATGTTTGCATTTGCTGCACATCCAGCCCCTGAAAGAAGGAGAGTCAAAATGTTACATTAAGGCAGTGTTGTCCAAACTTGGCCACTTTAAGATGAGTGGACTTCCACTCCCAGAATTCCCCAGCAAGCATGGCTGGCTGGGGAATTCTGGGGGTTGAAGGCCACGCACCTTAAAGTTGCCAAGGTGGAGAAACACTGCCTTAAGGGGACAAAGGATGCTCACTTCAAAAGCATCAAAGGTGGTTGGTTGTGCAATGCGCTAATCTGGCTTGTTAGGTTTCAGCTTTGCACGGGGGGTGTGAACCTAACCAGGACGCTGGAATTGGGGTCTCTGCAGCTCGGCTGCAATGATCGAAACGGCCACCAACAAATATTCCCACCAACCCAAATTTCCAATTTCCAAATTTCTAGCTGAGGGCTGGTGTGAAGATGGGTGGGGTCTTCCGTTAGGCGATCTCAGCTGCTTCACAACCGTCTTTCGCTGCGGGACAGGAAAGGAAGACCCTTTTTCGGTGCTGAAATATTCTCTGGGGGTCCCCCCACCCCGTCGCCGCTTCACCAACCCCCCCACGAAGGAGCAGAGAAACTTACTGTATAGACGCCTTCCACTTTCTAGAAAATAGGGGGGGGGGAAGCAAAGATAAGGATTAAAATGCAAAGAAACAAAGTGGAACACCCCCCCCAAAGGACCCTCTGCTGTAATTTGGGGGGCTCGAGGCATGTGATATTTGCCATCAAATAATTTATTGGCGTACCTCATAGATGGGAGAAGCAGCAGCTGCGCTGTCAGCTTTCTTTCGATGTTGGAACTGAAGGAAAGGAGAAATAAGTCAATAAAATCATTACAGATTTGGAGCTCTAATTCTCAATCTGCCCAGAGTCCTCTGGAGCAGGATGGAGAATCATAATCATCGTCATAATCTGATCAATCTTCTCCTCTTATTTCCTTAGATGGAAAGCACATTGGCTCTTAGGAATCGCTTCCAGAAATTAGGAATAATTTCAGGGGGCATTTCTCAGAATGAACTAATGGCAGGCTCGGATTGTTCCTCAGACGCTCACCTTAAGCCGGCAGTAGAGGAAAGTCAGAGCGATCCCATAGAGAAACAGAATCCCATCCAAGATGTAGCACAGCTGGGGCTCTTCTAACGCTTCTGCAAACACAAGAGGCCAAGTCTGACATTTTCCAGAAAAGATTTGCAATTAAAAAAGAAGTTATCATTCTGGGGGATGCAGAATCAAGAAAATAGAAAACAGGTTGGCTTGGAACTTCTAGCTGGAGAGGAATTTCGGAGCATGGCTGGTTTTTCTCCAAAATTAGGTCAAGCAAGTGAAAATGCGTCTTTGGACACGGGACCATCCCGAGGAGGTGATCTGTGACAGATCTCAGTAGAGTTTGGAATAAATCTCCTAAAAGCCAGATTGGGATAGCACCGGGCTCTGCTGCTCAGATTTAAATTCTGATTGGTGTGGCTGAAAAGGAAAAAGTGGTAGGGAAGGAGAAGGAAAAACGTGACTTCACAAAACCAGTTCTTAAATGGTTACACCGGGATTCAACATTTGCCTCTAAAATAACTGCAAGCAACAACAAAAAGAATGATGTTGTTTTGTTGCACTGTTTATGGTGGTTGTTATGGATATTAAAAATGGGGGTTGAAACATCATGCTGTTGGAATATTTTTCTCATACATTTACAATAAGGAAAGAGGACATAGGAAAGATAGTAATGCTGGTTGCCATCAGTATAAACAAGTGAATAGATCATGTAGCAAAATCTGTGTAAAAGAAGACATATAACTTACATATAGAAAAACATATGTATAGGAAAGATAAAATGCCCTTTGTTTAAGCACTAGATAAGGAGACATCTGTTTAACCATAAATAAGAACGTTTGCCATGATTCTAAGATAAGGAAACATCTGTTTTAGCAGACTATGGAAGGAAGGAAGGATTGTACAGGAGGAAGATGTTCGTGCTGGTAGAGTAGAAACTATTGTAATAAGCTAACACATTCCATTCTATTGATAATGATTGGCTAAATCTTTAAACTAAAAGAGCTATAAAAAGGGGACGGAGAAGCAGTCCTGCCATGGCCGATCATCCAAAGCTAACAACAACTTTGGGGGAATAAATGTATTTCCGTTGACTCTCCGCTGATTGGTGTTTTTCAACCTTGGCAGCTTTAAGATGGGCGGACTTCAACTCCCAGACTTCCCCAGCCAGCCATGCTTTAAGACGGGTGGACTTCAACTCCCAGAATTCCCTAGCCAGCCATGCTTACACACTTACCCGCGGTGAACTGACTCATGGTTTACCCAGTTAACTGGGTTTGGGTAATTCTATTGGGGCAAAACATTTCCGGCTGGTGGGTGTGAGTTAATAGCTAGTTAATGGTGAGTTAAGGTCTCCTCTGAATACAGCTGCTGTTTCGTTTCACACGTTGCAGCTCCATTTGCTCACAACGCACACGGCACATTTTATCTGCCTCCCAAACAACCTTGCAAGCTGGACGAACCCGAAAGGGCCAGAAGGATCTGAGGCATGCCAGCGAGGCTGATTTTAGACCCAAAGTTTGTCGCAGAGAACTTTGACCCGTTTCTACAACTTCCAGAAGTTGCAAGAAATGTAATAAATCCAGACCAAATTGTTGGTCCAATGAGTCCGGTTGAACTGAACGTCCTCCCCGATGCCTCTTTTATATCAGTGTTTCTACTGCGTAACACGGATCATGTTTCTTCTTCAGCGCTGTCCTGGGAAACCCAAGTATGGCGCAAGTCGATTTCTGTGAATTTCTGTGAACATTTGCTTGTGGCTTGAAAGGGAGATAAAAAACCAAGAGAGATGCGAGCTGCTGTTGGTCTGGCCTCCGTCCTTGAACACCATCAGATCAGCAAAGCGCTTCGCAAAACCACAACAGTTTGGGTGATTTCTGATGTTGCAAAGTGTAAATAAATATATATATATTTTAAAGCAAAGAGAATACCCAGTTCCTTAATCAGACCACCGAGGGAGCACATAGCCTCTAAAAATCTTGCAGCCTTTCTGAATCTCGGAGGCCTTGAAGAATCCGTAGAGGGAAATTCCATCCGTGTTCAGTTCACGAGGCTGCGTTCCTGCAAATCGTTCCACTTAAGCTACGTTTTGGGGTTTACCGTGATGGCTTTTGGAAAGCCAGGATCTGTGGCTGTCGGATAGCTGACAAATCCATTTTTTCCCGAGTCTCCCCATGAGAGCCACTGCAGATAAGGATGGTGTGCAACGGGTGAACCCGATTTTGTGCATCAAGAGGGACCGGTGGGCAGGGACCCTCTTTTAATTTGATCCAAATGTGTTTCTTTTATACAAAAAAAGATTGCATTCCTTTTTTTCCCCCCCCCCCCC